ATCCTTCTCGGCTCCGCTGCGTCTGCGCTCTCCACGGCCATCACGTCTCCTGGCTCCGCCTTTCCGCTGTATCCGGACCGCCGAAGACGTTGGACTCGGTCGCCATCTTGCCGAACGCTGTCCTGCCGTTTCACTGCTCGCCAACGCCACTCCACAACCCCCTCGATGGGGGAGGGTGCCCCCTACCCTCTAAGGTAGGTACCCAATTTATCTACTTGCATATTAGATGTTAAGTCATGCTTTCGAACGGCTGGGCAGTTTAAATTTAAAAATAGAATTGAGATTTTATTAAACAGGCAGGGAATATATGCACAATAGGAGTCAAGTTTTTGAGACTACTGAGGTAAAAACTTTATAATATATACGGATTGGAATTCTTAGAAATATTCAAGAGATTGTACTTGTAGTTTTGTTTCAAGGTTTTCTAGTTCTTTCTTTGAGTGGTACTTTGCATAGTATAGTTCAGCTCTGATACAGTTCTTAGTAAGGTTTCTTCTGGAGGACAGCGTTTGATTAACGTTTCTCGATTTCTCCCTTCAGAGATCTAGGTTTTCCCTTTAGATTTTACAGCTTTCCATGAACTCCCGAGGTGTCTAAGCTTCTCCCCTTTATCACAAACCAGGGTTCTTTCCCCAACCCCTTTCACTGGTAAGAAGTGAGTAAAGCAGCCAATCACATAAGTTCTTATCTCTAGGGAAGATTAACTCGAACTCCCTGACTCTCTGGCACAAGCAGCATTTGAAAAAGCCTTTTCTTTGTAATCCGTCACACAAGTCCAATGTCCGGAGTATGCAGATCTCGACAGGGTGGAGGGGGGTTGCAGCTGTCAGAACAAGATCTCATGTGCTTCCCAGGTCTGATGCCTAGGCATGATTAATATATAGGGCTTGACAGTCCTGGCGTCCGTCCTTGTGTCTACTTATGTCAAGGTGCCTGGTATGGTATTTAGACTCCTGGGGCACCCCTTCGGGGTCCATTGCTGGTTGAAATGACCCCCCCTTGGGAGACGGGATCAGCATGCTTACAAGGTGGTTTTCAAGGCAAGAGATGAACAGAGCGGGTTTGCCATTGCCTGCCTCTGAACAGCATCCTTGGACTTCCTTGCTGGTCTCCCATCATAGCACTAACCAGGGCTCAACCTGTTGAGCTTCTGCGAGCTGATGAGATCAGGCTTAGGCGGGGCCGGCCCATCCAGGTCAGGGCAAAAGCAACCCTCACATGGGGTGATTTGTGGCCATACCTGTGGGCTGATGGCCAGAAAGGTTTTCAAACAGAAGCTAGAGGGCCATCTGACAGCAATACTGATTGTGTGAACTTAGGCAGATGATGAGAGGGAGTGCAGGAAGGGTTGCATCAGTGCTTAGTGCTTGTGGACCTTTCTGACATGGCTGGGGAAATGCTGATCACCACTTTGGGGTCAGGAAGCAATTTTTCTCTTGGCCACTTTGCCCGTGGATGCTGAAGGGTTTTTTTTTTGCCATCTTCTCAGCATGGAACAGGGGTCACTGGGGATGGGGGGTTTTTGTGTGTGAATGTCCTGCATTGTGCTGGGGTTTGGACTAGATGACCCTGGAGGCCCCTTCCAACTCTGTAACTCCATGATTCCGAAGACAACGCCCTCAGGCACTAAGGTTCTTTGACTTGTGTGTCTAGCCAATTGATTGCACACAGTGAGATACAGTCCAGGCAGCAAGGAGGGTAAAAAAAGAACTTTTTCAAATAAATGGGCCACCATACAGCCAAAACTTCAGTCCAGATGTCCAGTGAGTAACAGCAGGGATCTGACTTATATACTTTTGTTGTTCCTCCCAATTTTACATTACCACTGATGTCATTTACACTTTGTTCAGTTTGATATTCTTTGTTTGCAACATTCATTAATCTTACATTTGACAAACAAGATGTTACTGGCCACATTTCAACTTTACAGATCTTTGATGATGTAGGTGCCTGTCTTGTTAAAAATGGTATGTGCATCTTCTTGGCTGTTCTCCTAGACTTTCTTACCTCTGAATGAACTTACAGGCTGAGTTCATACTGAGTACAGGATTTAACTTTTCCCATTATAATATGGTTCCTTTATATCAATACATACATATGTGTATATAAAAAGCACTTTAAAATCATTTCAGTGGGCTATTCCTATGAAAGATGTATAGCACATGTATAAAATATGAAAAATATAAGATCATAATGACATTCCAAAAAATTAAACTCTTTACATGCATTTTCTAATGTTCCAAACTAGCCTATGACATAAAGCTTCTATAGATACCTTGAATTCACTGTTGTCCTTTATTTAATCCCTCCGGGGATTTATATTGAATTTTTAAAAGATATTAAATCTAATGTAATCTTTCTTTAAAATCTGCCTCCATTCCTGAGGACTGGAAGGTAGCTAATGTCACTCCAATCTTTAAAAAGGGTTCCAGAGGAGATCCGGGAAATTACAGGCCAGTCAGTCTGACGTCGATACCGGGTAAATTGGTGGAAACCATTATTAAGGAAAGAATTAGTAGTCACATAGATGAACAAAACCTATTGAGGCAGACTCAGCATGGGTTCTGTAAGGGAAGATCTTGTCTCACTAACCTGTTAATGTTCTTTGAGGGGGTGAACAAACATGTGGACAAAATGGACCCAATAGATGTTGTTTACCTGGACTTCCAGAAAACCTTTGATAAAGTTCCTCCTCAGAGGCTCCTACGAAAGCTCAATAGTCATGGAGTTGTATTAGATAACGCAATGAAAATGTTGAGACAGTGTGCGACATCAATAAAAAGGCCAATGCTATGCTGGGTATTATTAGGAAGGGAATTGAAAACAAATCAACCAGTATCATAATGCCCCTGTATAAATCAATGGTGTAACCTCATTTGGAGTACTGAATGCAGTTCTGGTCACCACAGTTCAAAAAGGATATTATAGCATTGGAAAAAGTGCAGAAAAGGGCCACTAGAATGATAAAAGGGTTGGAACACTTTCCCTATGGAAGAAAGGTTAAAACGCTTGGGGCTCTTTAGCTTGGAGAAACGTGAGGGGTGACGTGATCAAAGTTTATAAGATTATGCATGGGATAGAGCAGTTTGAGAACGAAGTACTTTCTCCCTTTCTCACAATACAAGAACTCGTGGGTACTCCATGAAATTGCTTAGCTGTCGGATTAGAACAGATAAAAGGAAGTACTTCTTCACCCAAAGAATGATTGACATATGGAATTCACTGCCATGGGAGGTTGCGCGGCTACAAGCATGGACAGCTTCAAGAGGGAATTAGATAAGCATATGGAGCAGATGTCCATCAGTGGCTATTAGCCACAAGGTATAGATAGGGACTCTTGGACTGATGCACTGTATTCCTGGTGCTGGGGGGGGCAACAGTGGGAGGGCTTCCTGGCCCCACTGGTGGACCTCCTGATGGCACCTGGTATTTTTGGTCACTGTGTGACAGAGTGTTGGACTGGATGGGCTATTGGCCTGATCGAACATTGGTTTCTCTTATGTTCTCATGTGCCATGGGACTCAAATTTGTTTTGCTGCTTCAGACCAACACGGAGAGGAGGAAGCAGGAAAAGAGGCAGCGCTATGGGGTCTTTCAGGACTGGGAAATATGAAAGAGTGGGGAAGGGAGAAATGAGATGTATCCCACACGTCCTTATGGGTTCCCACTATAAAATACAGAAGTCCTGAGATTTCCGCACCTATCAAACACAACTCTTTGAAGAACCCACCCCCATCCCATAGACTTAATCCCTCCAACTATCTTGAGTGTACTTAAGCTGGCAGAGCCCATCCTTGCTTTCTTCCTTGTGGGATCTATCTGAGGGCTTCAAAAATGGCTAAAGTTCCTTCTATAGTTTGAGCATTTATAACATTCCAAGTTAGGGTAAGATTTCTGTGTAGATTAAAGCTTTTTACAAGAGTCTATATTGTTCTGATACTGTATGTGGTCCGTGGTTATCTTTTAGCAGTGAAAAAAGAAAAGTGCTCTTTTCACAGGCTAAGTGGTTGCCTGGTTTCTCCTTCAGTGGTATTACGAACCCCCTTATTTCAAAGTATGTAGGGATTTGTTCCTTTATTTTTTCACAAGTTGGAGCAGTCTTATTTTCCACTGACACTGTCTGCCCGCCTCTTTTAACCAGGAACCCACACAGTTTGTCCTTGTCACTCACACACACCTACTGATGAGACCTTTTAATAAATAGTTATCTCTGTGGCTTTTCTTGAACACCGCTCTCTTTCTCGGATGAAGCTTATGGTTTAACTTTGACAGACAGTGATGCACCCTAGACATGGAACAATAAAACCAACTGACGATTTTATTTACAAGGACAGGCAGGCAGGGAATGTATAAACAAGGGAAAAGCTGATGCTTGTGTATACGTTGTTTCAAATGGTATAGTTCAGATTTAGGTCAGTTCATTTATAAACATTCATTTCAGATACCACAGTACAAAACGCGCGCTCTCTAATCTCAACCCCTGTGCTGTTCTAGACTGCTCATTTCCATTTGGATTTCTCAGGTACTCTCCACCTCTGCTGTGCCTTGGCTCCCCCCCCCCCCCCCTTTCTGGACACTAACTATTCCATTAAACCCTCTTGACACACTAAATCCACTAAACCCGACCCTCACTCCAGCAGGGTATCGATTCTATGTGAGAGGAACACGAATCTCTAGTTTAACCACCAGGAGCTTATTTTCCTTTTTAAGACTCCTTAGATTTCACTATGGTATACAACCATGTTTGCCTTTTCTCAGATGCCCTTACTATTGGAATCTGTAGAGAAATCTCATTCCCTCCTCCGACTCAGCAAGGTCCAACATGACTTCTCAGTCCCGTGGAACAGTACCCACTAAACAAAATCGACTGATAGTGTCAACAGCCAAACTCCAACAGTCAAGAAGGGTTTTTTAATCATTAGAAACCCCCCCCCATGTTCTGCATCTGAAATACATCACCACTGCTAGTCACATGACTGCAGGTGTTTTATCTTGCAGGCTGATCCCAACCCCGGAGTCCATCACAGGTGGGCTCTTAGATGTTTATGAAAAGTGATACTCCAGCTAAGTCTCTTTCCACACTCTGAGAATTCAAAAGATTTCTACCCTCTGTGGGTTCTGAGATGCACTTGCAGGTGGCCACTCTGACTGAATCTCTTTCCACACTCTGAGCATACAAAAGGTTTCTCCCCTCTGTGGGTTCTTTGATGACGCTGAAAACTGCCATTGTAACTGAATCTCTTTCCACACTCTGGGCATTCAAAAGGTTTCTCCCCTGTGTGGGTTCTCTGATGCTGTTGAAAATAGCTGCTCGTAGTGAATCGCTTTCCGCACTCTGAGCATTCAAAAGGTTTCTCCCCTGTGTGGGTTCTTTGATGACACTGAAGACTTGCACTATGATTGAATCTCTTTCCACACTCTGAGCATTCAAAAGGTTTCTCCCCTGTGTGGGTTCTTTGATGATATTGAAGATGGCCACTGGTACTGAATCTCTTTCCGCACTCTGAGCATTCAAAAGGTTTCTCCCCTGTGTGGGTTCTTTGATGACACTGAAGACTTGCACTGTGATTGAATCTCTTTCCACACTCTGAGCATTCAAAAGGTTTCTCCCCTGTGTGGGTTCTTTGATGACACTGAAGACTGACATTATACTTGAATCTCTGTCCACACTCTGAGCATTCAAAAGATTTCTCCCCTGTGTGGGTTCTTTGATGCAGATGAAGATGGCCACTGGTACTGAATCTCTTTCCGCACTCTGAGCATTCAAAACGTTTCTCCTCTGTGTGGGTTCTTTGATGACACTGAAGACTTGCACTGCGATTGAATCTCTTTCCACACTCTGAGCATTCAAAAGGTTTCTCCCCTGTGTGGGTTCTTTGATGACACTGAAGACTGACATTGTAACTGAATCTCTTTCCACACTCTGAGCATTCAAAAGGTTTCTCCCCCGTGTGGGTTCTTCGATGCAGATGAAGATGGCTACTCTGACTGAATCTCTTTCCGCACTCTGAGCATTCAAAACGTTTCTCCCCTGTATGAGTTCTTAGATGCTTCTGAAGATTGCCACTCACACTGAATCTCTTTCCGCACTCTGAGCATTCAAAAGGTTTTTCCCCTGTGTGGGTTTTCTGATGCTGTTGAAGCTTGGAACTGTGACTAAATCTCTTCCCACATTCTTTGCATTCAAAAGGTTTCTCCCCTGTGTGGGTTCTCTGATGACGCTGAAAACTGCCATTGTGACTGAATCTCTTTCCACACTCTGGGCATTCAAAAGGTTTATCCCCTGTATGGGTTCTCTGATGCTGTTGAAGATAGCTGCTCGTACTGAATCGCTTTCCGCACTCTGAGCATTCAAAAGGTTTCTCCCCCGTGTGGGTTCTTTGATGCAGTCGAAGATTGCTACTTGTACTAGATGTCTTTCCGCACTCTGAGCATTCAAAAGGTTTCTCCCCTGTGTGCGTTCTTTGATGATATTGAAGATGGCCACTGGTACTGAATCTCTTTCCACACTCTGAGCATTCAAAAGGTTTCTCACCTGTGTGGATTCTTTGATGACACTGAAGACTTGCACTATGATTGAACCTCTTTCCACACTCTGAGCATTCAAAAGGTTTCTCCCCTGTGTGGGTTCTTTGATGCTGTTGAAGATAGCTTCTCTTACTGAATCTCTTTCCACACTCTGAGCATTCAAAAGGTTTCTCCCCTGTGTGAATTCTTTGATGACACCGAAGACTGACATTGTGACTAAATCTCTTTCCACACTCTGAGCATTCAAAAGGTTTCTCCCCTGTGTGGGTTCTTCGATGCAGTTGAAGATGGCTACTCTGACTGAATCTCTTTCCACACTCTGAACATTCAAAAGGTTTCTCCCCTGTGTGGGTTCTTTGATGTTTTTGAAGATTGCCACTCACACTGAATCTCTTTCCGCACTCGGAGCATTCAAAAGGTTTTTCCCCTGTGTGGGTTTTCTGATGCTGTTGAAGCTTGGAACTGTGACTGAATCTCTTCCCACATTCTGTGCATTCAAAAGGTTTCTCCCCTGTGTGGGTTCTCTGATGCTGTTGAAGATGGGCACTCTGACTGAATCTCTTTCCACATTCTGAGCAGTCATAAGGTTTCCCTCCTCTGTGGGTTCCTTGATGCTTTTGAAGATTGCTACTGCAACTGAATCTCTTTCCGCACTCTGAGCATTCAAAAGGTTTCTCCCCTGTGTGGGTTCTTTGATGCTGTTGCAGATGGGTACTCTGACAGAATCTCTTTCCACACTCTGAGCATTCAAAAGGTTTCTCCCCTGTGTGGGTTCTTTGATGCTTTTGAAGATCGCTGCTTGCAGTGAATCTCTTTCCACACTCTGAGCATTCAAAGGGTTTCTCCCCCGTGTGGGTTATTAGATGCTGTTGAAGATTGCCACTCTGACTGAATCTCTTTCCACACTCTGAGCATTCAAAAGGTTTCTCTCCTGTGTGGGTTCTCTGATGCTGTTGAAGATTGCCACTGGTACTGAATTTCTTGCCACACTCCGAGCAGTCAAAAGGTTCCCCCCCTTTGTGGGTTCCTTGGTGCTGTTGAAGATTGTCACTCTGACTGAATTTCTTCCCACACTGTGAGTTTTCAAAAGGTTTCTCTCCTGTTTGTATTTTTTGGTTCCCAAAAAGCTGTGACCTATATTTGATGTCCTTTCTGCACTGAACCGATTTACTTGTCTTCATTGTATCGTGGTTTGGAAACTGTGCATTATGCTGTTTTACATCTCTCTTCTCAAGCAACAGGCCACTTTTCTTTTTTGTAGGTCTGCCTCGATTCCTGACCTTTCCTTTTACATCTTCATTATAAACTGTCTCTGGGAATTGTGGATGAAGTTCCTCAATCTTTTCATTTCTCTGATCGTTCTCTGCAAGAATAAAGAGAGCATTTATTCATATTTTTGGTTTGCTTATCCCCGCTCCTGGTGAGCTTAGCTCAGGGTGGTTCACATCAAAGTCATATAAAACACACAAAATCTATTAAATGGTTTAAGATACAAGTCTAACGCCCAATAACTGTATGGCGGCACCATACAATTCTGGCCCCCCAATTTACATGAGCGATGGCAGAAGAGGGGTGAAAACAGACTGAATCAAATGGTTCTTAAGAACTATTCAACTGTTAAGAAACAGTCGCTGTCCTCAACCGTACGCTTGGCAAAATATCTCTGCCCTGCAGGCCCTCCTAATTGGTAGCAAATCCCACAATACCCAGATGTTAACCAGCAGAGAGCTCCTCCAAGTTGGTTGAGGACAGACGAACACTTTTTGGGCTAAGGACTTCCAATAGATGTTGGTCACTTGAGCGTGATGGTCTTTGGGAGACATACCAGCAGAGGAGGTTCCATAGGTACTTTGGTCCCTGACTGTTTAGGGCCTTAAACGTCAAGATCAAAACCTTGAACCTGATCCAGTACTCAACTTGGAGCCAGTGGAGCTGGCGAAGCACAAGTTGTGGAAGTGCAGTTACCGGTGTCCCTGTAAGGGAGGGAGAGAAGCTGGCTTCCCAATTTTATCAAAAGAGCGAGAGAGAAGGAGAGAGTTATTCTAAACCAAAACTCAAGAGAGCCTCCCTCCTGCCCAACCCGGGCTGGAGATCGTCTTTGCAAAGAGGGTGGCTAGCTGCAATTACAAAGGGGGTTAAAGGCACATGTATATCTTTAACCAGGTAGTGCTACCACCAGTCCTTTTGTGTACCTCCAGTCAAGAAGCAAAGGAGACACTCCTGACCTTATCGGGCTTAGCTAGGGAATCCTTCATGTGAGGTTTGCTCACAGCAGGAGACCCACAGGTTATTCTAGAGGCAGTAACCAACAGTCTTAGGCACCAGATAACTTATTGCAGCAGTGGAGACAAAAACCAGAAGTCAGTAAAAGAAAGCTAAAGATTAACAAACTAGCGACACACTTCAAGAACCTTGGTTCTCAAAGATAAGATGTTAGCCATTCAGTTCTGGGTCCAAATGTACTCCGTCTCCGGAGTTCCAAGCGCCAGGCCGGTTGGCTTCAGCACCCAGAACTCCCAAGATGGCCGAAAGATGAGCAAGACAGAGTTACAAGTCAGCTTGACATGCAACACCACCATGCCCCCGGAAACGATGTTAAAGAAGGTTATCTATCGCTAGAACCCTCAGTGGTTGCTAGGCCTATGCACCAATCAGGGTTCAAGCAATGTCTTCCAAGTACAAGAAGGCCAATCAAGGAAAGGATGATTTCATTGGTCTCTGGTCATGTCAGAAGAGCAGGTGAATGTGATCTGCAGTTTCACAGCACCAGTCCCTTCCCACAGGACTTAAATGCTCTGGAATGTTCACGAGGAACGCCAAGGCCAGAGAGGGAACATGTTCTCTCCCCAGCACGGCTGTGTGAAACTAAGGAGACTTAAAGACAGCATTCTTAAACAAGAGCAGGCCACAGCCAGACTGAACCAGACTGTTGTTGGATTGATATACAGCTGTAGAACATTATCTTGATTTATGAATTGGAGCAAGTAGTGGAGTACCGATATTTGTATTGTATTTTTATACTGTTCTTATTGTTTTATTAGGCATTTATGCCCTTGTTAGCCGCCCTGAGCCTTCGGGGAGGGCGGGATACAAATCTAAAGAATAAATAAAATAAATAAACCCAACTTTTAAAGCAAACCCCATTTTGAGTGAACCAAAGTTCTTGAGACTCTTAAGGCAGAAAACATTTATGTAGCATTCCAATAGTCAACACAGAATATTTCAACACCACCCCAATACATAAATAGTGCACTTCTCAGTTTGAAAAGGATATTCTTGGTTGTTCTGCTAAGACCCATCACAGCAGGGTGGTTGATCAGAATAACCTCGAACAAAACTAATTCAGACATTAACAAGAGAAGAAGAGAGAGGAGAGATTGGATTTATACCCCGCCCTTCACTACCCAAAGGAGTCACAGAGCGGCTTACAAACTCCCTTCCCGTCCCCTCCCCACAGCAGACACCCTGTGAGGTAGGTGGGGCTGAGAACTACGGCTTGCCCAAGGTCATCCAGCAGGTGCAAGTGGAGGAGTGGGGAATCAAACCCTGTTCTCCCAGATTAGAGTCCGTGCACTTAACCGCTACACCAAACTGGCTCTCCTCTTTTTCACCCACTGAACCTAGTGCAGTTGTCAGTCAAATCTGTGATGAGCATTTGACGTATACAATAAAGTCAGCCCCTTTCATGCTATCTGCGGGGTCAGGAAAGTCAAGGAAAGTTGTGTTAAGTCAGGGTGACTCACGAGTCGAGGAAGCTAGTTTCTGATACTCTATTTAGAATCCGATAGTGACTTCTGACTGCTGCAAAGTATAAACTGAAGCCTTAAAATGGTGCATCGCTGTTCCATATTCTGATACCTGCCTACTCAGAATGGCAGCAATTTGTACCTTTGCCGCCTAAGAAAGATCCTTACCCAGAAAGGCCACGTTCCCATAGTTCTCCAGCATGACTTCCCAGTAGAGAGCTCGTTGGCTCGGATCCAGCAGGGCCCACTCGGCATCGGTGAAATACACGGCCACCTCCTCAAAGGAAAAGGGACCCTGAAAGAAAAAGCAGATTCCCTCGTCAGAGATCACGCCAGGCAGACATGGCACCCTGGAAGGGAGTAGTCTGGAAGGGTACAGGATGTATGGCTTGGCATGGGGTGAAGGGAGTGGCGTTCAGAGCCCCTCTCGCCCAGACACCTTGTAGAGACTGCAGGAGCAAAAGCCCTCCTGAGAATGGAGGGGGAACCCAGGCCGTCCCCTGCTATAAATCCCCTACCTGGACGGGAGGGGCAGCCGCCGTCTCCACTCCTCTGAAAAGATGACGGCTCAACAGCATCTCTCCACTGCCTGTTCCTGAGACAAAGGAGGAAGGAAGGGGGTTTTCCCCCACGTTTTTTTATTTGATTTGTTTGTTTGTTCCCTGCTTCGTTCACCGCATTTCCAGGGGTGTAAAGCCTTGCCCTGTTTCCACTCAACACATTTTAACACTTTTTACAAAACACTGGGAGAGGCAGAAGAGGAGGACCAGGTACCAGGAGCCTCAGGGATTCTAAATGCTGCCAACACATTTCAGACTTCTGTCAGGCCTGTGTCAGGTTTGAGGGAGGGTGAAGAGAGAGATGGAAATGACGTGGCATGACACGTCATCGTCACATTCAGCCCAGTCGTGACTTGAGCTCATATGAAGACGTGAGGGTCATATGAATGAGTTTTCATGCCATCATCAACATGTTTTCATCAACATGCCATCACATCCACCCCAAGCCTCACCCCAAAGCTCTTGGGCAACAGCCCACCGTCCCTATTCCAGCTTCCGGTTTCCCAAAGCGGCCCGCCAGATGCCCCTAGAAGCACGGGCACAGAAGCCAGATGTTTCCGTACTCATTGGCCCCCAGAAAGTGTTTTTCAGAGCTCTGCTGCCCCAGAAGATGGAGGCTCCCTTTATTCACCAAGTTGAATAGTTCTCCCGAGATTTGTCTACCTTAGGGAAGGCGGGAGAGAGAGGACTCTTTTAATTAATGGGAGGAATTGCCCTCCAGGAATTTGTCCAATCCCCTTTGAGAGGCATCACAAGTAGTGGACACGGAGTTCCGCAAACTAACTCTGTGTTGTGTGAAGAAGTGTTTAATCCCCCCCTCCGACCTGAACTCCCTACGCATCAAATCCACTGGGTGCCCCAATCGCATCCAGGCACAAAGAGTCCTTACCACAGGACAGGATATCTTGGGCACACTCCATAGCCTGTGCCCTCTGCTCTTGCTCCAAGGAACTTCGTTCTGCTTCAGGGAAGGTTGCTTCTGTCTTCAGGGATGATGCCCACATCTGAAACAGCAGCGAGGGACAGGGGTAAGAGATGGAACGGAAAAGAGACCAAAGAATGGATTCTGCCCCACTCCTAGACTCTGCACCCTTCACTCGGCAGACCTGCTGAGTTATCTGGAGGGATCCGAAATACTCTAGTTAGAAGAGGCTGCTGAAGGAGGCTGTTAAATCTCCCAACTGGATGATTCACACTTGGAGAAATATCTCTCATGGACATTTTAGGTTAAGTTAGGCCAGATATCGTTGCTTGGTCCACTGCTTTTTAACTTGTTCATTAATGATTTGGAGATGGGAGTAAGCAGTGAAGTGGCTAAATTTGCAGATGATACAAAGTTGTTCAGGGTGGTGAAAACCAGTGAGAATTGTGAGGCACTCCAAAGGGATCTGTCAAGGATGGGCGAGTGGGCGTCAACGTGGCAAATGGGGTTCAATGTGGCCAAGTGCAAGGTGATGCACATTGGAGCCAAAAATCCTAACTATAAATACACATTGATGGGGTCTGAACTGGCAGAGACTGATCAAGAGAGAGATCTTGGAGTTGTAGTAGATAACTCACTGAAAATGTTGAGACAGTGTGTGACTGCAATAAAGAAGGCCAATGCTATGCTGGGGATTATTAGGAAGGGTATTGAAAAAAGATCAGCCAATATCATAATGCCCCTATATAAATCAATGGTGAGACCTCATTTGGAATACTGTGTGCAGTTCTGGTCACCACACCTTAAAAAGGATATTATAGCTTTGGAAAAAGTGCAGAAAAGGGCAACTTGAATGATAAAAGGATTGGAACACTTTCCCTATGAGGAAAGGTTAAAGCGCTTAGGGCTCTTTAGCTTGGAGAAAAGACGACTGAGGGGTGACATGATCGAGGTTTATAAGATTATGCATGGGAAAGAGCAGGTAGAGAAAGAGGTACTTTTCTCCCTTTCTCACAATACAAGAACTCGTGGGCACTCCATGAAACTGCAGAGCGGTCGGGTTACAACGGATAAAAGGAAGTACTTCTTCACCCAAAGAGTGATTAACACATGGAATTCACTGCCACAGGAAGTGGTGGTGGCTACAAGCATGGACGGCTTCAAAAGTGAATTAGGTAAGCATATGGAGCAGAGGTCCATCATTGGCTATTAGCCACAAGGTATAGATAGGGGCTCTGGGGCAAGTGATGCTCTGTCTTCTTGGTGCTTGGGGGGGAGTCAACAGTGGGAGGGCTTCTAATGTCCTGGCCCCACTGGTGGATCTTCTGATGGCACTGGTATTTTTGGCCACTGTGTGACACAGAGTGTTGGACTGGATGGGCCTTTGGCCTGATCCAACATTGGCGTCTCTTATGTTCTTATGCTTGAACAGGACATGGAAATCCCTCACCAGCCTGTTCTCCTCTGCCTGACTCAGGAGGAAACCTTTGGCCAGGGCCACCGCCTGGGAACTGGTCTCCCGCCCGCATCCTCTGACCCAGCCCTGCATTTCCTGAGGAAAGATAGTCAGGAACTGCTCCAGGATCACCAGGTCCAGGATTTGCTTCTTGGTGTGCCTCTCCAGCTCCAGCCACTGGCCCATCGGCCTCTCGGCCTCATCGGCCTCATGGTAGCGGAACTCCGGGAAGCGTCGGCAGTGTACCTCTGAGGTCACGGTGTCCTTGGCCAGGACCTCTGGCCCAGCTCTTTCCCAGAATTCAACACCACTCCCAGCTGGGGTGGGATGGGGCCCTTTCCTTGCTGCCTTGCTAGTTCCAGGTCCTTCTGGGTCCTGCGCTTCCATCTCCTTCCCCTTCTCTTGGGTCACCTCCATCTGTGAAAACATGCCTTTATTCGCCTGGCTATGAAGGGAGGCTCCTTCCAGAGAGGATGGAAAGAGACAGACAGGAGTGTGTCAAAAGGAAAATTAAAAAGAATAAAAAGACACCACGGAACATCACGAACCTTCATAGTGAGACTGGCCCTGGTGGACCAGAAGAAAGGTGCTTCTTGTGGTCTGTAGACCACGTTTAAGATCATTTCCCCATATTATAAACCAAGCTATTCTAGATGTGCCTCCTTGGTTCTTTGGGAAAGTTACGTGTCTCTGTTTTGCTCTTTCAGGATCCAATGAAGCTGATGGGCCGTCAAGTCTGGACAGACAGAAAGCGCTTAAAATACGGAATTCACTGCCAGAGGATGTTGTGATGGCCACAAAAAACACAGCTTGAAAAAGCAGATTAGACAGATTCATCGAGGATTAAGTGTATCGGTGGCTACTAGCTATGGTGGCCGAGGGGAACCTCCACATTCAGAGGCACTCAACCTCTGAATCCCAGAGCCAGAAGGCAAAATCAGGGTTCTTCTTATGTTCTAATGAAAGGGGCAGGTAGTCGTCGGTGTGAAAGATCTAACTCTGCCCGAGACCCTGCCAGTCTGAATAGACAACTCTGACCTCGATGGACCGATGGTGTCATTCAGTGTAAGGTAGCTTCATGTGCCTGTGGTCATGTGTGTCTCCCTCCATGTCAGGAAAGTCAGTTTGCCCCACACCACACTGTTCCAAGATGTGCCTTCCCCTCTCTGGCTGTTTTGGAGGGAATGTGGTCACGTGGATGCCTAGGGCATCAGGGGGCAAGAGCCGTGGCATGGCCTCGCCACACTGAATTGTGGCGGTTGTTCTTCACATGGCTCTGAGTTCCAGAGAGTCCCCACCGGAGAAGAAAGTCTTCTGAAGATGCCTTCCAAGGCTTGTTCTTACCTGGTTTCCTTCGCTTCCAGGGTGACTCTCTTTTCCAGGGCAGCCCTAAGAGGAGAGAATCGGTGTCAGAACATTGGTTTATTGAATGTGGACTTTAATTCGGCTGGGAAATGGCATCTGTAGGCAGAGGAGACCAGAGTACTTCCTGTTCAAAGTGGCTGCTAGGCCAGAGGAAGCCTGAGGACTTCCTGTTCAAAAGGGCTGCTAGGCCAAGAACAGCCTGAACACTTCCTGTACAGAATGGCAGCTAGGCCAGCGGAAGCTTGAGCACTTTCTGTTCAAAACGGCTGCTAGGCCAAGAACAGCCTGAACACTTCCTGTTCAAAATGGCAGCTAGGCCAGAAGAAGCTTGAGCACTTCATGTTCAAAGTGACTGCTAGGCCAGAGACGACCACTCCCTTCCTGCGTGAGGTGCTTGCCAGCACTTTCCTCTCAGACACTCCTGCCATGTGGGGCAGGAATTGGGCAGGAGAGACTGCAGGGAGGGGTCAAGTACTTACAGCAGGTCCGTCTAAGCCTGGCATCCCGGGGAGGCCGGGTTTCCCTCTGGGGCCCTGAGAGGGAGAGAAGGAGAAACATGTTAGGCCAGCAGTGGCTTGGCACCCTAACCCAGACATACCCCCAGCAGTGGGGTGGGGCACACCTCACCTTTCCCCCCAGAGGCCCTATAGCGTCTTGCGGTCCCGGCAGACCCTAGAAAGAAATCCAGAAGAAGACTCAACGTCAGACGGTCCCACACAACTTCCAGAATCCCAAACCTCTAGATCCCCCCACTCTTCCAGTAGCCCAATCCCCTAGACCCCCTCCCCCCAAGGACCCCAGAAGACCCCAGTAACGATTTCATGTTTTGGTGTGTGTGTTTCTTTAAATATTTACTTTGACTGCAGTAATGTAAGGAGAGTGATAGAGGGAGATGAGTGTGATGTGATTGGCTGATGACTGAGAGTGTGGGAGGAGAGATGTCTCTGAGGTGATTCTGTGTTTGCAGAGAGACGAGTGCGGAGAGTTTTTGTGAGAGTCTGTATGACAGAGGAAGCAGTTGGGAGTTTAGCCTGTGTGGCTAAGAAAGAGAGAGTTTAGCCTGTGTGGCTATGAGAGACAGAGAGATTGTCTAAGGCTGACAGAGTGGAGTTTTGGTGTTTGAAAGACTGTGTGTGACGCCACGTTTTGTCAGTTATATTTTCTTCCTTCAACGACAGTTCAAAAATACCCAGATACCTATTTTGTACTTTTATAAATAAATCATTGTTTGTTTAAAATTATCCCAGCAATCAGTGCAGTCCTTCCTCAGGGCCACATAGTCCTCTCTAGTGCCCAGACACTGGGTCATAGAGAGACTTGGAATTTTTAATTCCTGGTGGCAGCAGAAATCGACTAAGTTCATGTACACAGAGTGTGGTTTAAAGGAGAAACAGTCTCCCCAGTAAGCAAAGACCTCACAATCCCCTTCAGGCACAAGCAGAATGGAAAACCAGCAGGCCAGCAGCAGACACACACCCACACCCTGCTTAGCATGGCCAAGGTTCCCAGGTCAATCCCTGGCATCTCTTTGATTCTTAAAGGTAAAGGTTCCCTTGCTCGAAAGCCAGTCAAATCTGACTCTAGGGTTGCGGTGCTCTGTTTCAAAGCCGAAGAGCCAGCACTGTCCAAAGACATTTTCGTGGTCATGACTAAACACCAAGGCGCTGTTACCTTCCCACTGAAGTGGTCCCTATTTATCTACTTGCAATTTCTTGCTTTCAATCTGCTAGGTTGGCAGGAGCTGTAACTAGAGACGGGAGCTCACTCCGTCATGCGGCACACTCGGGTCTTGAACTGCTGAACTACCGACCTTCCACATCCTGCAGTTCAGCGCCTTAGCCACCTGAGACACCGCAGCTTTGGTTCTTAGAGAGGACCAATTCCTGGTATGAGCATCTATCAGTAGCCGGTACCCAGGTGCAGTGGAGCCTCCATGTTCAGAGGCAGTCTGTCTCTCGAGACCAGACATTGGGGACCATGAAATGGGAGGTGGGGGCTGCTCCCTTCGTGCCCCAGAGCATTCTTGGAGGCATCTGGCCAGCCACTGTGGGAAACAGGAGACTGGTCTGGATGAACGCCCTTTGTTCTGACCCAGCGGGGCTCACCTGTGTCCGTGGTCCCCTCTTACCTGAGTCCCTGGCGGTTCCTGCTGACCTGGCTGTTTCCTCTGGTGGCCCCTGTTGGGGAAAAACAAAGCACAGGCTCATAAAGCTGTCGGAGGACCAGCCGTCTCCTTCTCAGAGGGCAGCTCCCTGAACCAGTTAAGGCGAAACAACCAAACAACGCAAGACAGCCTAAAAGGAGACCGGCCAGGCCAGAAAAACCTGGGAAATCTTTTGTCCTCCAGTTTCCCGAAATGCCTCCGAGCTGGGGCTTTGGTGAAAGCCAAGAGGCCTGGGGCCACCGCACGGCTGGCTTCCTCTTGTGGTACAGGAAGACCTGTCGGGAGAACCACCCACAACGGGGAAGGTACCCATGCACCAAACTCCCTCCAAGCTGGCAATGATGCTCTCTAGTCTCAGAAGTCGGGTTGTGGCTTCTGAGGGGGGACGGAAGGGCACTCTGCCCATGCCCAGAGGTACGCACAAGTTTGCTTTTTGGTGGAGGAAAGTGCCGTCAAGTCACAACCGACTTATGATGACAGTGTAGGCTTTTCAAGGCAAGCGACGTTCAGAGGTGGTTTGCCATTGCCTGAATCTGCTCAGGGACCCTGGACTTCCTTGGTGGTCTCCCCTCCGAGTAACCACGAGGGCTGACCCTGCTTCATTTCTGAGATCAGGGTGCCTGTTGTGGGGAGGGGAAGGGAAAGGAGTCTGTAAGCCGCTCTGAGACACCTTTGGGTAGTGAAGGGCGGGGCATAAAATCCAATCTCCTCTTCTTCTTCTAGTGAAGCTTGGACATTCGGAGAGGTGGCTTGCTATGGCCTGCCTCCGGAATTCCTTGGCGGTCTCCCATCCAAGTACTAACCAGGACCGACCCTGCTTAGCTTTAGAGATCTGACAAGATCAGGCTCGACTGGGCCACCCAGGGCAGGACAGAGAGACCAAGAGAGGTGGTGCTTGGCCATGGCCCGCCTCTGGGTGGCAACTCCGGACTTCCTTGCTTGTCTCCCCTCCAAGGACCAACCGGTGCTGACCCTGCTCAGCTTCTGAGATGTAGCGAGATCAGGCTAGCCGGGGCTACCCTGTGGCCCACCAGAGACCAGCCAGTCCCTGGTTCACATCCGCCTGTGCCACAGCCAGGGGAGGTGGCCTCGGGTATCGTTTCCAACCTCCAGCTTGGGCCTGGAGATCTCCCAGAATTGCAGCTCTCCTCCAGACTAGAGAGGTCGGTTCCCCTGGAGAAACCCCCCCCCCCGAGAGAGTGGGCTGGGTGGCCTCTCATGCCCTGCTGAGGCCCCTCCCCTCCCCAGGCCCCACCCCCCCAAGTCTCAAGGACTCCCCCAGCCCCGGAGCTGGCAACCCTGGTCTCAGGCCAGCTGCCCTCTCTCAGCCTCCTGGAGATGAGAAGGCCGGCCGACTTTCACAGTGGTTGCCGTAACGATGGTGACAGGCTTTTCTCCGGCCCTCCAAAGGCCCTCAAGAGGAATGGCTGCAGCACTGGCTCAACTGGGCTGGATTCACACACACTCCTGTCTTCCCGTCCACCCCCGCTCCATCGTTCGCCACCAGTACTGACCCTCTCGCTGTCTTCGCCATGGGGGCTTCTATCGTTTCGATACTGTTCTTCTTCCGAGAGTGAATGAAAACCTTAAGAAATCATATGCAACAACAGTATTATCATAATCTGGTCACAATTAATTTGTCCAACTCTACAGTTTTTAGAGGCCTATACTCACCATGACTTAATTGCAAGAATTTCTCTGACAGAATGTTCCTGGGGCAAGGTGCTTGTATAATGCCTTGCTAGGTGCACATTCCCACAAAACCTTTATGCTAACCTTTGCTGTGAAATTAACCTTATGATGATGTGTTACATTTTATTGTTACATTTCGTAGATACATCGGTGAATATTATGGATTTTTGATACCTACTAGTTGAAAAGACAGACCAAGAGTCGCTGTACATGTACCATAGGTTTTGCACATAATATTGCTGTTGCATATGATTTCTTAAGGTTTTCATTTCGTGATTATTATTGAAAAATTATCTAGCGCAGTTACCTCACAGTTTCTTTCTTCTTTTTGCGGTCTGAACCCTGGTCTCAGGCCAGCTGCCCTCTCTCAGCCACAAGGAGATGAGAAGGCTGACCAACCTTCACAGTGGTTGCTCTAAGGATGGTGACAGGCAGGGGCTGTTTCCTGCTGGAGCGCACAGGAGTGGAGCTCCGGCAGTAAAGAGCCCAGGGGGCAGGCACATGCAACAAGCCCCACCCCCTGCTCCCAGCAGCCCTCAGTCAGAGCAAGAAGCAGCCAGGTAAGTTGCAGAGCTCCCCCCGGCCCCCCGGTCCAAAACAGTCCAGTGGCACCTTTAAGACCAAGTTTTATTCAGGCACAAGCTCTCCCTCCTCTGCTAGGACAGATCTGCACATTCCCCCCCCCCCAATAGCTAGTAATCCAAAACAGTCCAGTGGAGTCTGAGCGGTGGGTGTTGCCTTCTGACACACTTCCGGTGATGCCAGAAGGTGTGGCATATGCAAATAAGTTATGCTAAAGAGCTCCTGCACCTCTTTTTCTACAAAATGACCACTGGTGACAGGCATTTCTCTGGGCCCTCCAAAGGCCCTCAGAGCCACCGGACAGGAATGGCCACCACTTGATCAACTGTGCTGGACTCATACACACTCCCATACACACACACACCCCATTCCATCAATCGGCACCAGTACTGACCAGTGTTCCCTCTAAGCTGAGTCAGTGTGAGCTAGCTCACAGTTTTTTAGCCTCTGTCTCACACATTTTTGTCTTAGCTCAGTAAGGATGGCTTTAAAGCAAACTAATTTATGCAGTACCCAAATCACTTGCTCACAACTTTAATGCCAGTAGCTCATAAAGTAAATTTTTTGCTCACAAGACTCCACAGCTTGGAGGGAACATTGGTACTGACCCTCTCGTAGTCTTCACCGCAGGGGCCAGGGAGGCCTTGTGCACCGGGGTCACACTGGTGTGGAGCGGGGGAGAGAAACAACAGTTGTGAGCCTGGCCTGGCCAGCAAGAGACACACCAGCCACCTGTCCATGGCAAACTTGGCCTGCCCTTTCCTGGAATTCTGGGAACTGTAGTTCTGTGAAGGGCTCGTAGGACTCTGAGCAGCTGCGGACATCTCAACAGGGGCATGCAGTAGGGAGTAGGCTTACCAAATGCCGGTGGGGGAATCCTATGTCCTTGCAGGATGCTCGCCGCGGGGACGGCTGCACGTGCTGCACCCGCCGTCGCCAGGATGTGACGCTCGGCGTCGGCCTGGCAACGGGACTCCAAACACGGGTGCAGCGCGTGCAGCCGTCCCCGCGGCGAGCATCCTGCAAGGACATAGGATTCTCCCGCCGGCATTTGGTAAGCCTGGTAGGGAGGGGAGGCTTCACCAGCTGAATTTCTGCCTAAGGTCAAGCGAGTGGGGGGAAGAGGAAGGCAGTCCTAGACAATCCCCAAGATTCCTGGGGGTGAAGCAGTGAGAACGGAGCTAGTTTAAAACCAGTTGGAGACCGTAGTGCAGATGTGGAGGCAGAGATAGAAAATAATGGGGGGGTGGAGAGGCAGAAATGGGGGGGGGGCTGTTGTTGTGACCGGAGTGAGGTGTTGCAGCAACTGGACGCCAAGAAGGGGCAGCAGACCCAGAGCCAGCCCTGAACGTGGGTTAGTTGACAGACACCTCCCCCCAACAAACCCACGAGGGCTTGGGGGGGGGGCTCCCAGACAAAGAAGAAGAAGAAGAGAACAAACCCAAGTGCGTGCACATGAAGCATTTTGCGGATAAAGGCGCTGGTGCTGTTGGCTTGGCGAAGGAGGAGGAGGAAGAGATTGGATTTATACCCCGCCCTTCACTTAGACTCTCAGAGCGGCTTACAAACTCCTTCCCCTTCCCCTCCCCACAACAGGCACCCCCTGTGAGGGAGGTGGAGCTGAGAGAGCTCTTGACAGAAACTGCTCTTTTTTCAAGAACAGCTCTTATCAGAACTACAAAGGAGTGGGGAATCAGACCGGGTTCTCCCAGATTAGAGTCCGCCCACTTAACCTCGACACCAAACTGGCTGTTGGCTCAACATAGTCATTCCCAGGGTGTAGCACAGTGTGCGAAAGACACTGATGGGTGACCACTGTGGCTGGGGGAACAGGCGGTGCACACACGTACACACACAACATATTTCAAGGAAGGGCTATGAGGATGGGGGGGGGGTCACTGTGGGGAAAAGCCCCCCCCCGTGACACTCTCTGCCCTCGACTTCTTTGGTGTCGTGGTTTGGTGTCGTGTTGTGGTTTGGTGTAGTGGTTAAGTGCGCGGACTCTAATCTGGGAGAACCGGGTTTGATTCCCCACTCCTCCACTTGCACCTGGCTAGATGACCTTGGGCAAGCCGTAGCTCTGACAAGAGCTGTCACGGTTTCTGTCAAGAGCTCTCTCAGCCCCACCTACCTCACAGGGTGCCTGTTGTGGGGAGGGGAAGGGAAAGGAGGCTGTAAGCCGCTCTGAGACGCCTTCAGGTAGTGAAGGGCGAGATATAAATCCAATCTCTTCCTCCTCCTCCTTCGCCAAGCCAACAGCACCAGCGCCTTTATCCGCAAAATGCTTCATGTGCACACACTTGGGTTTGTTCTCTTCTTCTTCTTCTTTGTCTGCCTCACCTCGACACCAGGTTCTCCAGCCACGCCCCGAGCCCCGTCAGCTCCGGCTCGGCCCTGGGGATCACACAGAGAGAGGGCGTGAGAGGACGCCCATCCCCTCCACCTCAGGCCTGCTCTCCACACGCAACCCTCAGTCCCACCAACGAACGTACCTGGTGGCCTGGTTTCCCTGGGGGGCCGATCAGCCCCATGGGCCCCTGCGAGCCCTGGAGAGAGAGGGAGACAGAGAAGAGAGACTTCTTCTGGGGCCTCCACCCGGGTTCCCCACCACTGAAGTGGTGGCACAGGAAAAGAGGAGGGGGTCGCAGGGTGAGGATTCCTCTGGAGAGCAGCGTAGGGCAGAGTACAGGACTGAAGGCCTCACGGGGAGAGGGTCCAGGGGAGAGGTGCCGGGGCTCAGGGGCCGTGCCCCTCGATCTCAGTCACACCTGGAGGCTGCAGCGGGCTCCGGAGGGAGTGGTGGAGCAGGAGGGGCCGGTTCTGGGCTGGGGAGACGTGCCAAAGGCCACGGCGGGAAAGAGAGGGTGCAGGGGCAGGGCGGGAGATTTGTCGCGGTGGTCAAGGATCCTCTTACCTGGGGGCCCCAGGACTCCAGCCTCAGCCTTTACGCCGGGGTTGCCAGGTTGCCCCTGGAAGAGAAATGTACAGCGGTTACCGGTGGATTCTAATCGGGAGAAGCAGGTTCGATTCCCCACTTCACAACCTGAAGCTAGGTGGGTGATGTGTGTGTGTGTGAGAGAGAGAATGGATTTATCCCCCGCCCTTCACTCCCCAAGGGAGTCTCAGAGTGGCTTACAAACTCCTTTCCCTTCCCCTCCCCACAACAGACACCCTGTGAGGTAGGTGGGGCTGAGAGAGCTCTTGACAGAACCTGCTCTTTTTCAAGAACAGCTCTTATCAGAACTGTTCCCCTTTTGCTGAAGTATGAAAATGGATTTCTCAAACGCTACGGGGATGTGCTAATATTTTGCAGGGGACTAAAGTTGAAGAACCACTGCCCTCGATTAGCTCTGACCAGGGACGCCGGACTGGATGAACAGGGCTTCTCCTCCTGCAGGATCTGTGATGAGTTGGCCAACCTCCAGGTGGGGCCTGGAGATCTCTCTGAATTAAAGTTTATCTCCAGGCTACAGAGGTCAGGTCCTCTGTAGAAAATGGCTGCTGTAGAGGGCCGTCCCTGGGGCGTTATACCTCCCGGAGGACCCTCCCCTCCTCAGCAATTTCCCAACTCAGTGTCCCGCCCCTCTTCCAAGAGCTCCACAGGGACCTCATCTCAGCCAACCAACCAACCACCCTGCAAGGTAGACCAGTCGGGGAGGGAACGCTTGGCCCAAAGAGAGTCAAGTCTGAACTCAGACCTTCCTCCAAGCAGTTATCAGACCTTATTCTCCCCCCCCCCCCCCTCCTCCTCCCGCT